TTACAATAACCACCTGATTCGACTCACAAACACAAAAGAATAATAATTTCAATTTTTTCTTAGGGTGTGGGCTCTGGAACAGAAACAAATACGTCCTTGCACTGTTGGCTAGTAAAGCGGGAAGCTATGTATATAATTAATACTCTGTAGGCGTTTATAACTTTGCACATCAATACAATGTATTAATTTATTGAATAATGAACAATCTACCTTGATTAATGAATTTATACATTGATATAATGTATTAAAAACATCAATTAATAAACCTGAAACATTGGTTAATGTATTTATACATTAATATAATGTACGTTTTTTTTTAATGATTTGGCTAAAGTTAATGTATATATACTTTAGTTAAATGTATTTTTACATGAATTTAATGTATTAATACATTGATATTATGTAAAATTGTACATTATATTAATGTATGCTATACATAATATCAATGTACGTGGTCATGAGCTTATAAAATTTAAACATTCTATTAATGTATTTATACATTTTATTTATGTATAACTACATTAATTTAATAAAATATTGGTCAATGTTTGGCATACATTGATAATATGTAATAATTTTTTTCTGTGCACCCTGTTTTATTTGGTTATTAGTTAAGATGTGCGAATTAATATAAATTTCACAAGCCACAAAAACAGCTGGTCTGCGCCATGAATAAGACAATTCCTATGCATTACCTAATTTTAAACTATTTTAGTATAATTTTATTTCTTAAATTTTTGTTACACAAATTTAATGATTGAGGGTTGAACACCCAAACCCTGGCCTAGCTAGTTCTACACACTAGGAAATTTTCGGCAACCCAGATTAAATTACGAAAAATGTAATGCATACCGGATTAATTGATATTCTAAACTGTTAATATTATCTGTTTGTTGGGCAAAAATTAAGTCTCTAATATTCGAATAGGTACCTATTCAAATATTCGAATTATAAGAATATTCAAGTATTTAAAAATTCGATATTAGAATATTAAAATTCCTAAAAGTTTCAATTTTGAAAGTAATTATTTAAGATTACAAGTTAAAATCATTACAACAACAACAGCGCCATCTGCTGTCAGTGCGACAGACTGAGTTTACGCTAATTTCTAAAAATATTGTTATTTTATTAAGAGTTTGATGACGGTTTTGGTTTATATTTATTATTAGAATTGAGTATTTATTGGTTGATTTATTTTTGTACACAAAATGACATTTATATTATCACTTTAGCGTACACAGAAAGAGTTTTATCGGTAATGAATGATAAGTGCCCGTCCGAAACAAACAAAGCGAATTTGATTTAAAAAAATGAATTATTCATTGAACTTAAATATAGACTGCAAAGATGTGAAGCTGTTTAGCAGTTATAATTATTTGTTGAATATTGCTAAAAGCTACATAGTATCCCAAAAACTTTGAATGATTGTAAAATCAATGTTTATTTTCAGACAGTCTAAGTTAGGGTGAAACAAGAAAGCGGAAAGAACGTTATTCCTTGCAGTGAACGCCAAGTAGTGACCGTCGTGGTCCAGGCATTGCTGATAACGAAAAGAAATCGAAACGCAAAAGTCACAAAGCATTTCAAGTGGTATCTGTCCGCATTCTCTTTAGATAACTCTTCTTAATTTGTTGCCGGTTTCGTCTTGTCAACTTTGTTTTGTGTCTTGTGTCTCCATAAAAAAGGCCAGGTGAACGTGCACGTTCAGAGACACTCTATAGAACTTGATACGATAATACCTGTTTTTTTGCTAATATTCAGTGTATGATACTTGAAAATACTTTTTTATATTTAAATATCTAAATTTAAAATATTCATAATCGATTACCAGCCTTACTTACTTAAAATTATTCAGACCTTAAATTATTTTCTTGCCAAAGTGCCTAATTTTCAGTATAATACTAGCTTGTCCCATCTAGTCAAGAAGTTTATAATATTTATTACAAATTAAACTAAAATTATCATATTTTTACAAAATTTATTAAAAAATCGCCAAATATTAGCATCTGGCTTGTCGTTTAATCAGCGCATCGCTGGTAGTGGGCAAAGTAGCGTCGTGATCAGTCAAGTTCTCAGGATCCTGGTAAAAATTTATTTACGAACTTAATAATTTAGAACTTAATAACTTAATAATAATATAATGATGATTTATTATGTAAAACTATTGCACTAGTGCTTGCGTTTACTTTTTTTTAATTGTTGTTAATCTACATTTTTAGAAATATTTAAAAATTCTTAGTATGCTGGTCTCAGGATTAGTTTTTTTTGTCAAACTATATTTAAGTGCCTTTAAAACTCACTTACTATTATTTTGTTAACAGATGTTCTTAACAATAATTTATAATGTTCAAAGACGTAATATCTCAGCTTACTAAGATAGATAAAGTAAAGATTACAAAATTAATCAATTTTTTGTTATTTGTTATATATTTTAACATAGACATCTATCGATAGAACTATGCGAGATAAACGATAATACGAGGTGTGTTCAGAAAATAACAAGAATTGTTAAATTTCGCGGGTTCGGAGGGTCCGGTTGTTCTTTATTATGTTGGTATACATGCCCCCGAAGTATGATAAAAACTTTAGTTGTTTATATTGTTTACTTTGTCTGTGGCAGCCGCTAAGGTTAGACGTGTTTTATGAGCTCGGCGATTTTTCGTAAATAAATTCTGTGAAATGATAACAAAGGCCTATAGTGAGTCTGCTATAAGTAAAACAAGAGTTTACAAGTGATATAAGAGTTTCCAAGATGGCCGTGAAGACGTTGAAGATGACGAACGCCCCGAACGCACAAGCACATTAACAACCGATAAAAACATGGAAAAAGTGGGAAAAAATGGGAAAAATGGTTATAAACCATCAAAGAAGTCGCTGATGATGTTGGTAAACCGATTGACTTATCCCATAAAATTTTTTCAAATGTTTTGGGTATAAAACGCGTGGCAGCAAAATTTGTTCTAAAATTGTTAAATTTTGAACAAAATTTTTGGCCATAAACAATACTGTAATGATGCCCCAGCCTCCATATTCGCCAGACATGCCTCTGTCTGACTTTTTCCTATTCCCAAAAATAAAGAGAACCTTAAAGGGCCGTCGTTTTGCAAGCATAGATGACATTAAAAGCGCATCGCTGAAAGAACTAAAGGCTATCCCAAAGATCGAGTTTTAGAAGTGTTTCGAGTAATGGAAGAAGAGCTGGCTCATGTGCATAATATCCAATGGGGACTACTTTGAAGGCGACAACATTAATGTAGACGAATAAATCAATATTTGTTTTAAAAAACGAAAATTCCCGACATTTTCTGAACACACCTCGAATACGTTGATTTCAGTTTATTTTTTGTTTTATTCTCAGTTTCCTTGATTTTCTTCAACTGGCTATAAATTTGTAATTTTCAAATATCTTAACTAATTCACTTAACATAATATGCTTGAAGATATTTTTGATCGGGTTAATTTTTGTGTTTGTGTATAAAAATGGCTAATATAATTTTAAAAATCGACTGATTCTTACTTATTTAAAAACAAACAAATATGCAATAAAATTTCTGCCCTTTATTACTTCTAATTTTCTTTGAAATTAAACACTTTTCAATATATATTTTTTAAATCCTTAAAATACCTAGTTTTTTGTTGGATGATCCTTACATTTTCTGCTTGTTGATATTGAAAATAGTTATAATCCCCGAGGTCAGCAAAAAATATGTTGGAAAATATTTTGCTAAATACACTAACCTCCTTATTTATTAAAAAGTTTACCTTAAAATTAAACACTTTCAATTAATAAATATTTTTTTAAATTATTAAAATAGGTATTTTTTTGTTGGATGGTCCTTACAAGTTCTGCTTGTTGACTAAAATATGCGTCTTTTTGGCTAAGGACGGCAGGATAGTCAATACAACCATTTACACTTTTTATCACTTTTAAGGCCCAAAAATGTATTTAATAATTTAATAATTATGATCGAAATCAATAATTATGATTGACATTGACATTTGCAAATAGCGTTTGTACAGATAGCTCTAGAGGGCATTGGTGGGAGAGTTTCCAATCTATGAGGGGTATTATGTCCAGGTCCACATAACTTTATGTTAAGTTTACAACCAATTGTAATCTGTTCACTAATTAAATAAGTAGTTTGTAATTATAACAAACATTTTGTAGATTTAATATCAAAATCATTGTAGATAATTTTCAAAAAAGACGTTATTTTTACAATCCTTTTTTAGACCCAGTACCTACCAATAGTTTTTGTTGGAAATTTTAAACTTTATTATCAGTACTACTACAACACTTACTGATGTATTTCGTTACTTTAACCCACTTCCCTGTATCATCCAATTTTAGTTTGAAAACCACTAATTGCATGTTTTTTCGGATACTTTACACTTCGCACACTCGTTAAATAGGTATAATAAGTATCCGAATAACAATAATAACAGATTTCTGGTAATATATTATACACTCTGGACAGTTGTTACGAACATGTTACGAATTAGAATAAAGTAAGCAGAAACATAAGTTCAGACGCTGAAGTCAGTTGAACTTGTTGATGCGTATTGTCAGTGGGAAATGTTTTGATTGACTGCCTGAAATCACGTGAACTTTTTCAACAAAATAATTTGTTAAACATTAACAAATTAATCTGTAATCTTTGAAATTAATAAAATGCTTACAAAATTGCATATTACCTCTACAAAACTTTCGGTAAAATATTTTCCTTTGTTAAAATAATTACAAACCATGGATTTCTACACAAAATTATGTTAAAATTTTACAAAATAAAATAAAAAAACTTTAAACTCATGAAACAAATCTGTATTTGTATGAAAGTGTATCACTGAAACAAAAAATATCTTCAAAAATGTATAAAAATAAGGTAAAATATTGTTTTAATTCAAACTTGATTGTCTCTTGTTAAAATTATAAATTTAATACAATTTTGTACATCAACGTATTTTCTATGCTAATAAATTAATATTATTACTATTTTCAGAGAACGAGCACTTCATTGTGGGGCGAGTGGATGGGAGTAATGCATGGAGATGAAATAGAATACGTTTTCGGCCATCCTCTTAATTTGTCTCTGCAATTTAACTCCAGAGAACGGGAACTTAGTCTCAAGATTATGCAGGCATTCGCTCGCTTTGCTGTTACTGGGTATGTAGAATATACCCACATTAATAATTTCTCTGTACCTACAAATGCATTGCCATATTTTATAGACATCAATTTAGTTGATTAAATTTATAATACTACTTCTACTACAATTTCAATTGCAAATAATCAATTTGAAATATTACCGGCCAATGCATTTAAATAAAATACATAAAGGAGTAAAAGTTTAGTTTTTAACTAATTGACAATATAAAACTAGGAGTGGCGGCTGGTGGATTTTGGGTATACCGATAATTCAATTATTAGATAGGTATGTGAACCACACCAAATTTATATGAGTTTACATTAGGTAAACAGAATTTAAATTGAAGCGAAAAAAGATAACTTTTTGCTCGGCCGTACCGGCCCCATGGCGCCCCCAGTAAATATAATATACAATTTACTATTACTATTATTATGGTAAATAATGAATTGCACCGATTAAATTTATATTATATTTATTGGGGGCGCCATGGGGCCGGCGCGGCCGAGCAAAAAGTTTTCTTTTTTTCGCACACTTTAATTTAAATTCTGCTTGCGCAGAAATTGTTTATTTAATGTCATTATAAACTCATATAAATTTGGTGTGGGTCCCATATCTAATAATTGAGATATCCAAAATCCACCAGCCGCCACTGAAAACTAGGTAACTATGTTTTTATGTTCTAATGTTTTTCCTAACACCTAAAAGTAAAACAAATAATTTAAGGTGGTTGTCTACGTACAGGTTGTCAAAAACTAATTTCTTAATACTAAAAATACCTAAACGAATTGGGGTCGTGTCAATCTTCTTTTACAATTTTTAAAAGCGACTGATTATAAGGTACCTTAAGGTACCTTATAATCAGTCGCTTTTAAAAAAAGGACCCTACAGTAACCTAATTTCAGAAGGGGCTGATTATACGCTAAAGAAGCATCGCTACCACGTGGCCGTTATCATCGTATATAGAATTCATCTTTTATTAAGCAGCTGTTAAACGCGTATGTTACAAATGAGTGTTTTTGAGAATAAATCCGGAAAATGTAAAAAAAAAATTGGAAAAAAACGTAGCACGATTTGTTGTGTTGTTGGGTGTTTTATGAGAGGAAATCCTGAGTTGAGTTTTAACCGGGTTCCCAATAAACAGTGAAAATCCGAATGAAGAAATAAATTGCAATACAATAATTCACCATGATCCCTTATAGATAAAATACACCGTTAGTGACTAACGTAACTATAGAATAATATAAGCGTTGAGTTTAAGGAATAATAATCGAAATTGAGTACTAAACCAAAGTTTTTTAGTTTTTACTTGCAAGGCGAAGCACAAATAACGTGCAAGCTGTGCTGTGCTGTGCAATTGAACAATATTTGTATATTTGTCGAGTAAGACTTCTGCCTTCCTTTTTTGTGAAAAAACTACTTATTTATTTTAAAATGATGTGCAGTTCGTATGCTTTAAATTTATTGTTGACAATTTTTGAATTCTAGATATAGATATTTTATGTTTTTCTACTTTGAAAAATTTATTTATTTAAAACCGGGTAGCTAAAAACCGCACATTGATATTAATGTTCCAGGTAACTAAAAATTGCACAATTCGAAGAAAATTGGATAATTGATAACTGCCCTTAAATTTAATTTATTTAAAACCGGCCAATTGAAAAATGAACATTAAAATTAATGTTTTGGGTACCTAACCCATTTTATGCACCTGTCACGCAATTGTTGACATTTGTCAAAAATGACAGGTGTCAAAAATAATGGATGTTAACCCTAAAGATTTTATGTCACTCCATTAATTATACGCTAGACGGGCCAAAACTATCGTTTTACTTAATTATAATGGAAACGAATATACTCATAAAAATAAAATTAATAAATCAAATAAAAAAAATGGTTACCAATATATATGTTAAATTATTCAAGGAAACCTAAACAATATCAAATAGATAATGATTACAGTGGTCCACACAATGAATTTTTTTTGGTGGCACTGGGTGGTCATTAACGTTAAGTGCGCTCATTTAAAAAATGCTCAATTAGCTCTTATTTTTTAAATAATGTAAAAAACCGTTTTTTATTTCTTAATCAAATAAACTGCCCGTCATAAAAATCGACGCACCTAGTTTTTTTGAAAATATTTGAAAGCTCGTTATTGGAAAATTACTAAATTGATTTTGAAAATCTTTGGAAATTCTGAATAGCTGATTCTTTGACTCTTATGTCAAATTTTGGGAATACGATATTTTGCACATAGCATTATACTTCAGGGTGTTAAACGAAGAGATGTATTTTTTCCGAAATTTCAAGTTATTCCCATTCATGAGGCAGTTGAGTTTGATAGTCGTAATACCCCTCCCTAATATTAGTAAGGTAATCCCTCGAAACGTTTTCGAGATTTTGTGAATATCGCAGCTTACTACGATTATATGCCAATTTATCGAAAATTGTCGTTATTTCCCAGTTTAGTCCAAAAAATGAGCAATAGTGGATTCTTTGACTTACATCTAATTTTGAGAATAAAATATTGTGCACATAGCATACAGGGTGTTAAAAAAGAGATGTTTTTTTCCAAAATTCCAAATCCCCATTCACAGGGCAGTTGAGCTTGATAGTCCTAATACTCCTCCCTAATAATAGTTAGGTAATCCCTCGGGACATTTTCGAGATTTAATGGATATCTTGGTTTACCACGATTGTACGGCAATTTTTCGAAAATTTACGTTATTCTTCATTTTAGTCTAAAAAATCAGCAAAAGTTGATTTTTTTACTCTTATGTCTAATTTTGGGAACACAATATTGTGCACATAGCATGATACTACAGGGTGTTAAAAAAAGAGATGTTTTTTCCAAAATTCCAAATCCCCATTCACAGGGCAGTTGAGCTTGATAGTCCTAATACCCCTTCCTAATAACATTTAGGTAATTTAAAAAATAAAATGACGAAAGTAAGATTGCATACCACGCAAGACGAAGAGCTGCCTGCCCTCTTTTTCTGCTAGAATAAGATGGGCACAAGAACATGCAAATTGGGGAAACGATGTGTTGATAACTAATCGATACCTTTCGTAGTTTGCTCATTTTTGGGAATTAAGTGGAGAATAACGACAATTTTCGAAAAATTGCTATATAATCGTAGTTAGCCAAGATATCCACAAAATCTTGAAAACGTCCCGAGGGATTACCCAACTGTTATTAGGAAGGGGTATTACGACTATCAAGCTCAACTGCCCTGTGAATGGGGATTTAAAATTTTGGAAAAAAACATCCCTTTTTTTAACACCCTGTAGTATAATTCTATGTGCACAATATCATATTTCCAAAATTAGATATAAAAGTCAAAGTATCCACTATTGCCCATTTTTTGGACTAAACTGGGAAATAACGATAATTTTCGATAAATTGGCATATAATTATATTATTATTATAATCGTAGTAAGCCGCGATATTCACAAAATCTCGAAAACGTTCCGAGGGATTACCTTACTTATATTAGGGAGGGGTATTACGGCTATCAAACTCAACTGCCTCATGAATGGGAATAACTTGAAATTTCGGAAAAAATACATCTCTTCTTTTAACACCCTGTAGTATAATGCTATGTGCAAAATATCGTATTCCCAAAATTTGACATAAGAGTCAAAGAATCAGCTATTCAGAATTTCCAAAGATTTTCAAAATCGATTCAGTAATTTTTCAATAACGAGCTTTCAAATATTTTCCAAAAAACTAGGTGCGTCGATTATTATGACGAGCAGTTTACTTTAACCGAGGATCATTGGTAATGCAGCCCCGGGTTCTAATTAAAGTAAAAAAAAAATTATACATTCATGTTTTTCCCCTTAAAAATAATGTTTTTAACGAAATTAAATCGTGTTTAACCTTAATTGCTGTTAAACGAATTATTGTCCTATTTGAATAAAATTTACAAAGTTTTGTATAATAACACTGGTCTACAAATTAAAGAAACAAAATTGACTGGAAAAAAGGAGGAAGTAATTTAGGTGCCCAGAATTTAAATTTACCGCTAAAATTGTGCTATCAGGTCTAGTTCTTTTTATGCCGCATGGTGGCGCTACCGTAAAGTAATTTGACGAAAACCGACATTTCTTCTCTACCTCTATAATAAATTATTATTAATAATAGTGCTTAAGTCAGAGATATCTCCTAAGTATGTTAAGTACACTGAAAGAAATATATACTAAAGTTAAATAAAAAAATAATTAGGGCAAATATATTTTATGTTTCATATATAGACTACCACATACATTGCTAAAACAAATATATTCGTTTGGTTAGCAGCCTATTGCTGCCCTAGCAATATAAATGGTGTTTCTAGCAATATTTTTTTGCTGTAATTCACTTATAGTTTACATTTTATAGTAAGGGTAAGTTTATTTTTATTTAGATCTAACATATCTTCTTTACAATAAATGTATTACAAAATTTACCATACATTCATAATAAACAGTAGTATAAATGTGTAAAGCACTAGTATAAAATTTTTAGTATAAATTTGTATTTACTTTTAGCAACAAATTTCTTTCAGTGTAGATCGTGTGTTACTAATCCAAGCTATTTCTGCTTTGTTTGTGGTGAATATAAAGTTGGAAAAAAGGATATGCAACAAAACCATTAAAATATGCATATTTACATTAATTTGGTTTTGCTGTCAGAAATTTAAACAAAACGTGGACACCGACATTGTTTTGCAATAGTTGCAGAGCTATTTTATAAAAATGGTCGAATGGTAAAAAAAAATATTTTGATTTTTCAGTTCCAGTAATATGGAGAGAGCAAAGTAATCACCAAACCGATTGTTAAATGGTTTAACAAAAGTTGTTGGGATCAATATGAAAAATCGAAAAAGTGTCCAATATGCAAATGTTCCATTTCTTTCAAAACCAGTTCAACGTTTACCAAATGCTCCATTGCCATTCGTTCCTAGTACCTACTACAAGCAGTGATTCGGAATCATCTTTCAATTAAATTTTTAAATCACGAATTTAATTAAATTGT